CAATATTTTGTTTAGGATAAGCAGTGCTGAGAGAATCCTGATTCACACAGATAAAAATGCAATGGGTTGGATTTTACAGTGTTATACAAAGTGCATTTGTAGTCTAAACACCAAAAAAAAAAAAAAAAAAAGGGTTGGGGGAGATGCCATTGATATTGAGAGAGACCAAGGCAGATATATCCAGACAAAAATATGTTAATTTGGTAGTCCAAGTATTGATGGCCTTTAGCATAGTAAAATTGTTATAGAATAAATTATATATTTTTAGTGTTTATTAGCTTAAAATGTGTATGTATATAAAATTGGAATCAAACATCTGCAGCATTGTATCTCTGTAACTCTGGAGTTCTGTGAAAGTTTGAAAAGCACTGCTAAGACCTATATACTCCTTTAGGCCATATACTACATCATACTGTTTTTTAGGTCTCTAGTTCCTAAAATAAAATAGATGCTCAGAAATTGAAATGTAATAAATGCAATGTTAAAATGTGATGTTGATTTTCTGCTTTATCCATCAGGGCACCAGTGTCTTGTCACCTGGACTTCACATAGGAATAATTATTATACTGGCAATAATGATTTATAAAAAGTCAGCAACTAATGTGTTTGAAAAGCATCCTTGTCTTTATACCCTAATGTTTGGATGTGTCTTTGCTAAAGTATCACAAAAATTGGTGGTAAGGAATTATTTAATGATTTACAGTATAAATAACCCATTTGGTCCTCAAACACAGAGCTGGAAACTATTTCATACAATGGGTAATTTGTTTTTTTTTGTGGTGTTACCATCACAATTTATAGTTACTTATTTGTTCTCCAAGTAAAATTTATGAGTTAATGTTATATCCAGGGAGACAGACTCTTTACTATATAGTAAATTCTTTTAATTATTTGTTCAGCTATAATTAACAAATATAACTTGCTGATGTTAAGAAATTTAAATATTGGAAACTTTAATAAGCTGCCCTGTCATCCAATATGAATTTCGGAAGTTTTAGATTCAGTATTTCCATATCAAATGTGAGATTAAATAAGTCTCTTTATGCTTATTTGTCTTAACAGTGAGTTATAGTCAATTCTGTTCTGAACTTAAAAGTTAAAATGTTAAAAATTTAATAATGAAACTTTTTTATTTTTTTATAGATAGCTCACATGACTAAAAGTGAACTGTATCTTCAAGACACTGCCTTCTTTGGCCCAGGTCTTTTATTTTTAGACCAGTACTTTAATAATTTTGTAGATGAATATGTTGTTTTATGGATAGCAATGGTAAGTTCTTTTCTGCTAATATTTTTTAACAGATGTCAGATAACACCATGTTTAAGAGTCATTTCAGTGAAATATCAGGTAGTCTCACTACTATACAGTAAATGTTTCTGTAAAATTACTTTTAAGCTGTCATTCTTTTTTATTCAGTATAGAAATGGTCCACATATCTGGAGATCTTGTTTCCAACAACCTAAATCCTTAACAATACAACTGTGATCTTTTGAAGTAAATGATAGGGAGATTTTTCTCCTCATGGGTGAGAATTCCCACTCTACCAGCAGAGCTGAGAGTGTCCTTTTTCTAAAAGGAAGCATTTGTCCCTGGTCTCTGGCAAAGTAATAACATGCTTTCCTCAGTTTTTTATACAACATAATTTTGTATATGTCTCCCCTCAATTATTGTGTCTTTTCTAGGCATTTTTTCTTTTCTTTTGTTCTGCAGAACTTTGAGGGATTCACACAAGGGACATCCACCTTACTTCAATATGCCTTTGCTTTCTTATAATTAATTTCAAAGGAGTAAATGTATATATGATAGAATGATTGTTATAACTGATAGCCCCTTCTAGTAGAAATTTGTGGCTTTGTTGCACAGCAGAGAACTGAAAGAATGTGGAGTCAAGACTTACATTGTTACTTTCCAGCTTTTGTGTTTTAGTCCAGTCTTTACCGCTCTCCCTCAGATTCTACAACTGTGAAATACCCTGTGTGTTCCAGAGAACTATATGAGGTCCAAAAGAGAAATACTGTATTTTGCCATGTATAATGCGCACCCACATTTTTTGTGTGCATTATACAGGAGATTATTATACCCCATGGTATGTAATCATTATACCCATGTATAATGGGCATCCTTATTTTTCCTTCAAAAATTTGGGCAAAAAAAGTGCTCATTATACATGGTAAAATACGGTATATAAAAGTACTCTAAAATACAATATTTTCAATGAAAAATTTTCAGTTAAGGGTTGAGATGTGGGCAAGGGCAGGGGGGCAGGAGGGATAGCTGTTGTTTCAGAAAAGAAAGACCATAATCCATTCTACATTTTCTTTTTGCTTCTAAAGGTCATTTCTTCATTTGATATGATGATGTACTTTAGTGCTTTGTGCCTGCAAATTTCAAGACACCTTCATCTAAATATCTTCAAGACTTCATGTCATCAAGCACCTGAACAGGTTCACAAGCATATTGACTAATAGCCCAAGGAAGAGAGGAGAACCAGTTAGGGGAACCTAGAAGTGAAGGAAATCCCCTTTTGCAGGTGGCTAGTATACTATCAAATAAGGTCATATTTGAATATAAAACATTAAGTCCTACAGATTCCATTATATCTATTTCAGTTGTGAAGTCCTCACTGTGGATCAACATTCTTAACCACAGATATTATCAGAGTAATACAACCTATAAGCTAGAAACAAAGCCAAAGAAAGAAATTTTAATTTTCTGGGGATAAGAAAGTGCACCAATGTACTTCTTAATAGCAGTCTTTTTGGTCTCAGAAATCCTTACACTTAGGATTTTCATTGCCAAATTACATAAAAATTCAAGACTTAAAGGATTTTAGCCATGTTGAGAATGATGCTTTTATTGCTAAAAATTGATGAGTTCATAATACTATTTAAGTGCATGCATTGTAATACTCTAATTACTAAGCCGAATGATGATGAATGATTTTTTTATTAGCCATTTTCAAGAGAGGTAAACGGCTATTGTACAAAAGGAAATACTTGCTTTAATATACCAACTAGAATTTAAAAAGGCTACTGGAATTTTCTATAACTTGTATTAAATGAAAGGAATTTGTCTACTAGGTCAGAAAAACAAATGAATCTTTACAATGCAAGTAATTTGTTTCTTGATATTCTGAATTAAAATTTAATTGTCATAAAAAGGTCAACATTAAATATCTCCTTTTATGAAAAATAAAGCAGCACTTAAAGCACAGTTGACATAAGAAAATTAGTAATTTATGAAAACAAGGCAAAAATATCTTCCTCTTAGAATATCAGCCAAAGTTACAACTCTACATGTCATTTGAGGCAAAAGGGGGGGAAAATGAGTATCAGTTATTCAACCACTAAGTACTTTATGTACTGATTCTTACCTTTTCACTCTCAAAGTATTTATAATGTTGATTATGAATAATAGAACTATCATACGGCTCTTTGGTGATCCAAATCCTCAGACTCCCCTTTTACCCTAGTTTTAATTTTATCCAGCCGTTCTGTAGACCATGCCATATGATGAAATAATAAAAAAGGAATAATGAACGTGTAGTATATGTTAAGAAAAAAACGTAATGAAAAAAGTGGAAGTTGATATTCCTTAAAAGGAAAAAATATATATTTATGTGAATTAAGGAAACAAAACACTCCAGGGTACTTGACTATTTTACAATTGGTAAACTCAAATAAGGATCTTTTTAGAAATATATTCCAACATATACTTTGGCTTAAAAGGAAATCTGTTTACAAAGTGCAAAAATTTAGGAAGTAAACTGTCCCCATGATGACAGGTATTTGTTCATGGTGGAGGACTAATTTCTTCCTATATGAGTTATGACAGTTAGAAAGAGAATCAGTATGGACTTGTTTTTAAAAACTTTGAAAGCTTCAAAGCTAAGATATGAATGGGTTATGGGGGGGGGGGCGGAATTAGAATGTAAAACAAGGAAAAACAGGAGAAAAATCACTCCTTTCCCCCTAATGGGCATTTTGTTGCGGGGGGGGGAGGTGGAGGAGGCAAACTTTTTGTTTTGAGTCTTCCAGTGAAAGCAGTTTGAGAAAAAAAAATTGTAACTGACATATTTTATATGCTGAAATAATAGTTTATTGTTTCATATGTTATTTTATGTTTTTAAAAGACAAGGTTTAAGAATTAACTATTCCAAGTCTGGAAATAAATATAAAATCAAACTGAAAATAAAACATTCTAGGTAATTTATCTTTGAAGACAGATGTGAAGTACTTAAATCATAAGTCATTAGGCACATTAATGATATGCTTTTAAATCATTACTACAGCACGTGCCATTTGATTTCAGACGAGCCCAGTTAAATGGCCTTCTGATGTCTTTGTGGAAATGACATTCAAAAAATCCTTATTTTATTTAAAAGAATTTTCTTATTGATTTTGGAGGGAGAGAGAAAAGAGAGACATTGACTTGTTGTTCCACTTATTTATGTATTCATTGGTTGCTTCTTGTTTGTGCCCTGACCGGAAATCAGCCTTGGTGTATCGGGACAACACTCTAACCAACTGAGTTACCCAGCCAGGGTGCAAATCCATATTTTAGTATGGCTATTTATATATCTTGTTCAGTTATCTTAATGGTCTTTAGCAGTTTTATTCCACAACACAAACTGTTGCTTTTAATAAATTTCCTAAGTCAGATTTTCTTTTGAAACCTAATCATTAGAATTGGCTGTATAATGTAATGACTATATACAAAAGGATGTACATATAAAAATAGATTTTATACATTTTTTCTTAAGGAACAACAATGTAACCTTGTATATTTGTGCTTTCTAACTCTTGGGACTGATACAGATACACTGGAGCCAAAACATGAAATTAAATAATCTTTATTGCTAAATTTATTGACAAGTGTTAGAGAGAAAAACTCGCTATTACTATTAAAAGGAAGAAAGCTTACATACAGTTTAGGGATTGCTGCTACTCACAAAACTGTTGAGCTTTTATCTGGAGGTTAACAGAAAGAGGGGGCTTGCACTTAAGCTAATGATTAACACGATGTAATATTTTAAACTAGAAGTTTAAAACCACTCTAAAGACTTCTATGCCTCTTAGCTAATGTTATAATTGTATCATATTACTTAGGTTCAAGTTCTTCCTTCAAAGAGTCATCAGAATAACATGGATTGAAGAGACTTTCGAACATTTGCCATCTCCTGCTGCTGCTGTTCATGAAAGGAGATATTAAACATTTGTTTAATTTTTAGATAAGTGTTATACATATTTCAACAAATAAAATGTTTCAATGCTTACATTAATCCTTACTTTTTCAGTGTTTAATATCATAACTTACAGTGTCCATCATAATTTGTTTTTGCAACATAGCCATTTCTTTTTTAAGTTCATTTTGTGCACCAGTAAGTAGGGTATCCTGATTCTTCTCCAAGTCCTCCATACTCTAAAACACAAAAGACTCATTCAGTTACAAACCATCAGTTTTCATCTCAGGGTCTAAACTTGTACAATTTTCAAAAGTAGGAACACTTTAAAATTCAAATAGTATAACTTATTTATTCCAAATAAAAATATTCTAAATAATACATCAAAATCAAAATACCCACTAAAGGATTAAAAAATGTTAGACATGAATCAAATATTACTACAGGACATACAACAGTAGTGTGCTTTGCTTGAAACAATAGGTTAATGAACTGTTAAGATTTCAGTATCAAACATAGTAAAAAAAGACTGGAAAGCCCAAATTAATAAATACCATAATTTTGAAAATTTCTAAAAATCCTTCTAAAGACCATGTTGTAATCCACTTATAACTAATAGTCAATGTGATGAGAATTCATCAGAAGTAGTAAAGAGACCTGTAGTAAACCTAATTTCTTCAATTTATGAAAAAAAGTTATAATAATTTACTATTTATCCAATAAACAATGATCCTAATGCCTACTATGTAAAAAGTTCTATGTTAAGTGCTGTGGAGAAATTTAAAAATAATAATAATATGTGATCTTTCCCTTATTCCAGTGACAAAAAAACAAAAATAATACAAAATTTTATAATATACATGGAAACACAACTTGCTGTGACTATGTAGTAGAAAAAATTCCAAGTTGGTTGGAAAAGGAATAAGATCTCAATAGATAAAGCAAGAAGTTTTCTATGGCAAGAGCCTAAACAAAAGCATTGAAGTATACAGTAAGTTGGAGAAAGCAATTAAGTGGAAGGGTGGGTATAATGGATAAATGTAGTAAATGAAGCATAAAAAGAGGATTACATTATTGGGTGGGGAGAAATCTTGACTACCTAAGAATTTAGAATGAGAAACTACTGACAGTTTTTCAGTAGGGAAGAGATAATGTTTTAGGGAAATAATATGGGAGAACTATGAAGAATGGATGACAGAGAAATCAGTTAAGTGTTTTAATAGTATATAAGCAAAGAATGAAAAATTGTTTAAAGAGAACCATTGCAGAGGTAAAAATTACAGGACCTTCTAATAATGATGTGTGACGAATAAGGGTGATTGAAGAGTCAAATATACTAAAGTTCCTATTCTGTTACATTTAGTGTTAACATTTAGAAGAAATCTTTTCTAGTACTTTATCAGTCCTTCATGCCAATCAACAAATGGTTTTCAGGGAGCATAACAGCAAGGTGATTGGAAATACTTGTTAAAATAACTTGTGTTCACATACATTATTAGTAATTCTAAAAGCAAATATGCCGTAAAGTACATATATAACATTTGTAATTACAAGAAATATTCACCAATTTCAATTGGGTACTTTCTATTGCACAAACGCTGGGGATACAAAGACAAGTAAAAGTCTATCTAGAAATGACTTATGAACCCTCTGCTTTCAGCTGAATAGAGAACTATCACTAGTGCTAATATTAAGTACAAATCTTATGCATAATATGTACATTTTTATGTAAAATTCCTAACTTACCATTTCCTGTTTTGAATAATTCCCACAAAAACATTAGAACCTTAAAGTAAAATATAGTTCTTAAATCAAAAACTAAATTCAAAAGGGAAAGTAGTTGAGAATTTTAAATGCATAAGCAAAATGTTTTTCCTTAAACTTAGAAAAAAATTATCTTCTACTTCCAACATAAATTGTTTTATAAGAATATGTTGTGTTACCAAATACAACAGACCTTTGTGAACTGCTCATATAGCTGTTTAATTGTATTCAGTCTCTGGCTCTGAACAACTCTAGATTGTTGGAAAACCTTTTGTTGCTGACGAAACAAATTCTACAAATGAAAAAAAAAATAATGTGATAACAATTTCAGTATAATTTTAAATTTAGCACAAAATAAGTTTAAAGGTAATTTTAAATACTTTTAAATTTTTAACTATTATAATTAAATTTAAATAATCTGTTTTCACCATTAATATACAATATAATAATCCTACCAGTCACTAAGTAGGAAATCTTAACAATACTCAGAACATGTCTTAGTTCTTAGTGCTTTCCATATCAACACAGATGATCCTTCTGATAATGCTAGTCATTCAGTTCCTTGGCCTACTTTTCACCAATGATTTTTAGCCATAACCCTACTTCAGCCATCCCCTTACATACTCACCCTAGATTTTGTTGTTACCAATAACTGTAACTTCCATTTAGTATGAATAATAGCACACTACTCTGAACGCTTTTAAATAAACTTACTATATATGAACTGACAATCTTCCAAGCAACTCTATGAGATAGGTACCTTTATCTCCCTTTCATAAATAAGGAAACAGACATAAAGAATAATTTTTCCACAGTTCACAGCTAGCATTTGGTCAAACCAGAATGTGATTCCAAACAGTATGTTTCTAGAATCCAGGCTCTAACCATTACTTATACTGTTTCTCCTTATATCCCACTATTCAACCACTCCCTCTTTACTGTTCTACTTCACTCTCTTTAGTACTGCAGCTCAATAATCTCTACCAAGACCTAAAATGTATTCATCCTACCTACTTTTCACTGTCCTCTATCCATATTCTCATGTTCTCACATTCCTTTTTCCCAATGTAAATTCTATGGTCAATCATTATAATTACTCCTTTGCATATATACCTTGCTCCCTTCTTACCGTGTCATTGTTGTTTGGCTAAACCGCAATCCTGGAAAACATAACTATTTAACTACTCATTACATCCCTGCAGATTGTCATAACTGGAGAAAACCCCACAACTATGTCAACAGGCCTCACTTTATATCATGATCACTAGCTTAAATTGAACCCCTCATACTGCTTGGCAATACTTCCTTAGTCTGTTTACTGGCCCACTCTCAGGAAAATATTTTATATCTCTCATTTGACCTCAAAAGGCAAAATATTTTCCACCCCCTGATGACCTTAATGATTTCACTAAATAAATAGTAGCAATCCAAAGAGAACTTTCAGTCTCCCATCACCATAGATACCCACCCACCTACATCTCTCTGTGCTCAAATACTCTACCTTCTTTCCTGTTTTTAAGGATGAACTTTTATCTTTGGTCCCTGCTAAGGCCAGCTTCTTCACATGTCCCAGCCATTCTCAAGAATTCAGCAACTGCCTCCTCTCTTTCCATTCTTTTTTATTTTTCCCTGAAGATTATTCCTATCAGCATATGAACGTGCTGCTCTTTCTCCATTCTTTCAAAAGACCAAAAAAAGCACTATTCCTTTTCTACACAGGCTACCACCCCATTTCTTTCCCATTCTTATACTCATTCCTGCTGGGTTTTTGCACTTACTATTCCACCAAAAATCACTCTGTTCAAGACTGATCAGAACCACTCTGATCAATACCAATGACCTTCACATTGCCAAATCCACCTTATTTGGCCTTTAAGCAACATATGAAAAAGTTAGTCCTCTCTCCTTAAAAGGTTTTCTTCACCTTGCCTAAGTGGTTTTCTGTCTACCTATTAGGCCACTCATTCTCATTTTAACTCTAAACATTGAGGTCTAAAGGCCCAGTTCTTAGATTTCTCTTTTACATTATAATCACTCCCTTGGTGATTTCATCCACCTTTGTACGTTTAATCCTTATATCTTTCCTGGAACCTAGACTCACACCAGTGGCTTGCTTACTCTATGTCTCCCCTTGTTCTGTTTCATATGCATTTTAAATTTAACATTTCCAAAACTGAGCTGGTCAATCAACACTTAAAATTATTTGTAGGAATAGCACCTTAGCTCTTAGACAAGTATGATAATTTCACAAACAATGTTAAGTATGGAATAAAGGGATAATGTAGTTATTTAATATACATATGTGGAGCTGACTTCCATCTCCCATTAAATAGGCAGGTAACACAAGAGTAAATCTTGTTCTGACTTACAATGATTGGTTCAATAATGAGCAAACAATCTAAACTGATCATTGATACTCCTTTGGAGTACTTTTCTGCTAGAGTTACTTTTTAGCTAGAGTCCACTAAACCTGGACTTTCTAAAGTTTAAAGTGGAGTTTCTTAACTTGTCTGGGATTGCAAAAAGCTATCTTTCTTACCACACTGAGAGAGTCTACTAAGAATTGGAGACAGAACCATGATGACAGTACATGAGCAATTCTTCTCCAGCTATGCCTAAAGCTAAACTACCTCTGGGCTTCTTTTGTATAAATCAATAATCCTTTTGTACTTTGACAAATTTCTATCACTTGGAACTGAAAGAATCCCAATCAATACAGGAAGCAAACACCATTCGCTTGTGTGAGTATGGTTTGTACCTATACTTCTCTGGTTTACCATTCAGCAGGACCAAAACATGTAGCCAGAAAGGGTAGCAAAACTTGGCCAAGTTCTATGTGTCCCCTACAAGTCAAGACTCTCCATTCCTACTTGACACTGGGTTAAATAGATTAATTATAAAGCTAAGCATAATACATACAGTTAGTTTTTCCTCTTGTTCCTCAGCTTTCTGCACATCTATCTCCCACTGCTGAAACAAAGTCAGAAACTGCTGAGAAAATTCTTGGTTGAGCTTCTGCCTGTAAAACATAACAAATATTGTCATATTTCATATCAATATAGAAAAAACATTGAAAACAAGATTGACTTTACATAATTATGCTGTAATAACAGAAGGAAATAAAAGCACTCTAAAATTTCAGATATGAAACTAAGAAGTAAAATTATGATTCCAGAAATATCCATTCTCCAAAAACCTAACAGAAAAGTCCTTTCACACGCTTTAGCCCGTGAAAACTAAGGAAATTTTGTTGTATATATAAATTTTCCAGAAAACTATTTTACTGCCAAGCAGTCTTTCATTTTTCTCCTACTGCATATGGATTTGATATGATAAGTTCAATTAGGTTATTATATTTATATGAAATTCTCAAATAGACATTTTACTTAATTTTTGCCCATTTTGGTATAAAAATGACTTTATGCAAAAGAATAGTTACTTGAGTTTAAATATATAATTTACAATATAAGACTGATCTTTTTCTACACTGTTAAACCGTTGACATTTACTTTTTATTCAGCTAATGTATTTCTGTAACAAATACAAATTATCTTTAGAGAAAAAAATCTTAATTTTTATTTGAAAGGGGATAAAAATAATTTTATTGATTTCCAGGAAATATATTTCAAGTCTATGAAGGACTGAGTTTATAGAACTAAAAGACTTGGAGAAAAATCAAGCTAAATATATTTTTTACTGGAGACTCCAATAAATAATAGTATTTTTCATAATTTGCACTAATGAAAATATTCAATGATAAAAATGTTGTGCCTGTGAAAGAACCAGCAATCATACCTTAGATCTTGTTGGGTTTTCCAAATATGTTCAATTTTCTGGTTACTGGTTTTGAGGGAAGCCTTGGTGTACATTGCCAGTCTTTTTTTCTTTGCAAGAAGAGCGTTGCTAATATCAGCTGTATGGAAAATCCATATTCATTAAAATGCAATATTGAAGAAAGTTACATATTTGGTTCCCATATATTGAAATAAACAAGGGTAAACAGTTTCAGAAAGGCATTTAAAATTAAATTTAAATTAGGCATAATAACAAAAAGCAAAGTTATTTGTTTTTTCTAAGAAAACTTTTAATTATAGTATCCCAGTTCTGATTTTACTAGCTAGAGATTTTTTAAATTTAGAGATGATTAAAGAGAGCAAAAATAAAGGAAAAACAGGGTCTCAAGGACAGATGTTAATTTCCTCATGAAAAAACACAAAGGCTAAATTTTTCTAAATTTATGAAGTACTCCCGAACTGAAACAACACATTTAGATGAATTACTGTTAGCGCTCAGTATATGAAACACAAAAGTATTTTTTAATCCAAAAAGGATAAAAATAAAGAATAAGAATGATTTTTTAAAATACAGTTATTATTTTAAGCATATAATTTTCTAAATGAGACAAAGACCAAGCATAGAAAAATCTTAAGTAAATATCTAGATAAATTCATTCAAGAACTTTTTTGAATACTTTCATGGAGCTTTTTATACTACATTTGTATCCATAAGTACTATATTTCATGAAATTTTAATACTTTAATTCTTTGCTAAACATGTGCATATGGATCTACCATCAATAGTTATTCTTCAGTAATCATTATGGAGCTGCATTATTACATAAATGTTTTATATATCTAATATCCATCAATAACAGTAAATATATAAAATTACAAAACAATCATTTCACCACCACCAAATAGAGCAAAGCTTTCATAAAAGACTCGATTGTGTGATTAATGAGCCCTATAAAGAAGCCAAATATTGACTCTTTTTTGAGTATTATATTCCCTACCACAGTTAATGTAATTGACATTTGACATACTATTTAAAGTTTATGAAATTTTTGTCTGATTATACATTTCTTACTATCCAGCAAGGCTGTTTTTATTTCTCAACTACATAGTTAAATAATGTAAAAATAACAATAAAGAATTATTTTAAAGGCTTCAATTTACACTGCCCCTACTAAAGAAAAGAACAAAGGAACGTCATACAAAATAACTAAATTAAGAAAAAGGAAAACTGACATATATATAGATATGTGTGTGTTTGTAGAAAAGTCTGTACAAATCCAAAGGGTAGAGCCTTTTCCCATTAATTTAGTCCTAAAATTCCAGTCCACTAAATTTACACATGTATAAAATAAAAGCGCCATTCTAGTACTACTCACCATTGTTAGTACCATTTGATCTCTTCACATCAACAACTGGAAAAGGTTAAGTAAGAAAATCTATGAAGGTAAATTACATAGTATACTTGTGCAAAATTCTATATATGAGAACAAGGTATTAAATGACAGTTTTGAGTACACTGATTATTATACAAGTTATTTGGTTTAGAACAATTTCCTTTAAATACAAGTATCTCCTAAAACATACCTCCAAACTTCTCCAGCATATTCTGTACTTCACCTCTGTGAAGAAAGCACATTTAAAAACTTTTAATTAGAGAGCCATAAAATATCATTCTTGTTTTGAAAGAAATACCACACACCCATTATTTTACATGTACTACTCATTGGATAACTAAAGTACTTTATCTAACAGGCAAAAATTATTTTGAGCACATTACCCCATATCTTCAACTATTCCTGCAGAAGTCCTTTTCTTCCCAAGCTTATCAATTACTGGAGTCTTTGCTGCATCAACAATAAAAAAAAAATTTGATATTAAATGTTATTTTGGCAATATTTAATAAAGTAATATCTTAATTTTGAGGTCATTTACGCTTTTTGCCACAAGAGTTTTTAAAGCAGATATACAAATGCAATACTTTCTCTGCAGATCAGATGGAATTAAATCAAGGTCCAGGACCATTTTATAGGAACAATTTTGTAAGTTTTCCTGTCTTAATGCCACAGTAAGCCACGTAATATTTATTAGACATTTTGGGAATAATGACTGAAAAGGCAAGAGATGTATATAAGGTACTCTAACTCCAAATGAGAAACATGAAATACATTAAAATGCTTGACAAAGTGTTATTATTGTATAAAATGCAGGAGGTTCAAAGTAAATGAACTGTAGGATATGGTCACTGCCCAATATTAGATATACTGTACCGTCAGTAGCATCCTCCTCTGAAGCACTCAGATGTTTTTTATCTTCTTTCTCAAAGTCATAGGCTCTTACAACCTGATCCTCCACTGGTGTCTTCCCAGATTTCCCGGTATGTTTTTTTCCAGAAGGCAACATATTTAGATGTTTCCTTTCAAAAAAATAAATCTCTCAAACCTTCCGAATCCAAAGGTATCATTTAAATAAACTGGTAAACTTCAAAATTAGAAATATCAAATGAAGATTATCTTTGTTGAATAACATTTAGGTCCCCTCATTTATTTTGAGGGTCCAAAAGTCAAGATAACGAGAGCATCAGCCCTGCTTTGCAGCTGTGCTGCTATGGGGAGTTCGGAGAAGGCCGGGACGTCAGAATTTTATTCCAGCCTCTGCCAGAGTCCCGCTAAATCTGGGCAAATACAATTACGGCATTTCAGCCGCAAAGTGAGATCATGGCTAACAGGATGGACCATGAGGGTGCCCGTCAGACCCAGCTCAGCCCACAGCTTCCCGCCCACCACTCCGCCACGGGTGCCTCGGCCCCGGGAACCCCGTCCCCCAGCCCCCCGGCCCCGGCCGCTCCCTCACACCCTCGGACCTGATCTACCCTTCCACCTGTCCAGCCGCGGTGGACCCCTCAGCCCCGGTCGCCCTCTCACTGCGTCGGCTCCCGGTCGACCCCTAGGCCCATCGGCCCCAGTAGTCCCCTCTCCTGTCAGCTCCGGTCGCCCCTCAGCCCTGGGACCCTTGCCCCGTCCAAGGTCCCTCGGCCCCGGTCGCCCCTCAGCCCTGGGACCCCTGCCCCGTCCAAGGTCCCTCGGCCCCGGTCGCCCCTCAGCCCTGGGACCCCTGCCCCGTCCAAGGTACTTCGGCCCGGGTCACCTCTTTGCTCCTGGTCACCTCCTGAGCCCCCCAGCCCCCGGTCGAGTCAGCCACGGGCTCCCCCACACCGCCTCGACCCCGGGCGCCCCCTCGGCCCCAGGGCCCCTCGCCGGCTTAAGGTCCCTTGACGCTGGGCGCCCCCTCGCTCCTGGCCGCCCTCTTGGCCCCTCAGCCCCGAGCGCACCGTAGACTCCGGGCCCCGCGCCCGTTCAAGGTCCCTCGACCCGGTCTCCTCCATAGCCCCTCAAGCCCGGTCGTCCTCTAGCCCTCGGTCGCCCCCTCGACCCGGTCGTCTCCTTAGCCCCTAAGTCCCGGTCGCCCCCTCAGCCACGGGCTCCTCCAAACCCCGGTGACGCCCTCACTCCCTCAGCCCCGGTCGCCGCCCCCCCCCGCCCCTCAGCCCAACTTGTCCCCTCTCTCTGTCAGCCCCGGTCGCCCACTCACACCCTCCGCCCCGGGTGCCCCCTTACTGCCTCGGCCCCAGGCGCCCCCTTGGCCCTGGTCGCCCTCTCGGCCCCAGGGCCTCTCGCCCCTGGTCACTTTCGTAGCCCCTCAGCCCCGGTCGCCCCCGCACCGCTCCGGCCTCGGGCACCCCCCTCAGTCTCGGTGACGCTCTCACTCCCTCGGCCCCGGTCGCTGCCCCCCTGCCCGACCCCACAGCACAAGTTGTCCCCTCTCTGGCAGCCCCGGCCGCCCCCTCATCCCCGGGGGCCTCCTCGGCCTCTCTTCCCGCTCAAGGTCCTTCCGCCCCGGTCGCCCCCTCGGCCCCGGGGTCGTTCTTCCCTCTCAGGTCCTTCGGCCCCAGTCGCCCCCTCGGTCTTCGTCGCCACCTCCGCGCCTCTTCGGGCCTCTTGCCCCTTGCCAGCTCAGGGCCCTGCCCTAATTTTCCTGTTAGAAGCCCCAGGTGGAGCCACCTAGAAAGATTTACCTCACAAACCAAGAGTAACCTCTGGCTCGACTCTCACCCTGGACAAACTCCTACGCTCCTCACACCTGAAAAAAAACCAGTGGCTGAGGACCACAATTACAGGTCTCCAACAGGTGCCCCCTGTACTCCTGTCTCACCAACCCCAGCTCCTCACCAGAGGTCTCTGCCTCGCAGCCGCGACGCTCCTCTGAGGTAACTCCGAATTTAAGCGGGAGAAAAGCCTAGAAGCATCGCTGATTGGCTGTCCGCTGTGCGCATGCGTGAAGTGGGTAGCGGGGCTCCGCCCCACCCCCCGCCCCACATGGGTGAGGGATCGCGAGACTGCTGAGCCAGAGCGCGTTGCAGGCGACTGCCTATGCATAATACGCTTGAGATCTGTGGCTTTCCAGTTTCTCTCTTTTTAATTTAAATTTTAAAATTTTATAATATTTGAAAGTTGCAAAAGCATATGTAAGTTATGAGACATGATAAGCACCACTACCTAATTTGTGAAGTACAATTTTACCAGAACCCAATGAATCTTTTCAGAAAGTCCTTTCCATAGCATTTCCCAATTTTCCATTCAGAGATACTTTAAAAAATTATCCTGGATTTTGTGTAAATATTCACTCCTCCCATTTTCTAAGTTTCATTACGTGTCCTTAAACAACCCAGACTAGTTATGTTTGTGTTTGGGTAGTACAGACGGCTGTACCATGTTCTATGTAGTATTCTGCCACTGTCATTTTTTTGCTTAACATTATGTTACTGAAACTCTATATTATTACATGTAGCTATAGTTCTTTCATTTTCACCACTGTATAATATTCCATTGTGACTTGATTCCAAAATTTATTCACCTATTTTCTTTTCTGAAGACAGGTGGGTTATTTTAAGATTTCAGCCTGTATAAATAATGCTATTATAAATGTTCTAATTTCGTGCTTATATGCTAAAGTTTTTACAGCGTATCTAGGTATGAAGTTGCTAGGTCATAGTTAGATGATACTCTGTAATGCCAAGTTGGTTTCCAATTTATATTCCCACCAACATAGGGAGTCCAAATTGTTCAATTTACTCATTATCACTTGGTATAATTAGATTTCTTAGTTTTGTTATTCTAGTAGGTGCAAAATATCTTTGGGATATTCTTTTATATTTCTCTAATCACTCATAAGTTTAAGATCTTGTTATGCTTATTTGACATTTTTCCTTTCTTTTCACTAAAATACTTATTTTTGCTTTTTGCTCATTTTTCAATTGAGTAGCATGTATCTCATTGATTTGTAGGTCTTTATACATGTTGGATATTAACCTTTATGACTTCTGCATCTTTATCTTAAAGTCATAAAATATTAAGGTTTTTTTCATTTTTAAGTATTTGTTCATCTAGAATTAATTTGTATGCATGGTGTGAGGATGAGGAATGATTTAATTATTTTTTTCCTATGTGGAAATCAATTTATTGAATAGTGCATGCTTTCCCTACAGCACATGACATACGTCTGCTTCTCTAGCCTGTTCCACTGCTTCTCAGCCTGTTCCACTGATCAGTTTGCCTATCCCTGTCCCAAAACAAGTTTTCATCAACTAATAGGGCAAGGCTCACATATAATTTTTTTAATTCAGGAGTAGCCTGTGCATTCTTGAACTTTTGCTTTTCAAGTAAACTTTAGAATCAGTTTTCCATGTTCAATGAAAAAAAAATCTGCTGGATTTTGATTGGAATTGCCCTGAATGTATAAATCAATTTGGAAAGAACTGAGTTTTCCTATTCTTGAATGTAGTACATTTTCCATTTATTTAAACTTCTTTAATATTATTCAATAAAGATAATTTTTTCCTCTGTGCAGAGCTTGCATTTTTATTAAATTTATTTATAAATAACACTTTATTGCTATTTTGTTCTAATTGCCACTTGTATATAAAAACCCAGTTGTTTTCTAATATTGATCTTATTCTTACACCCAGCAACTTGCTAAACACCTTATTTTTAATAATTTGTCTGTTGAGTCACTGGTATACTATTTCCTCAATATCAAGCATATGCATGCCTAGCAGTGCCATACAGATTTAATAACAAAGAAAATACAGATTTTAATTATAAAAATTGTAATTAATATGTTATTAACAAATGTGAATTTTTTAATGGAAAATATAACAGTTCTTTAATATATAAGACTTACTTAGACTATATAAAATGTCACAGGAATTCTAAATCTTTAAGGAAGCATTTCTCAAAAAGGACCTAAGAAATCAACAACTACTTAATCAAATGAAAAACTGCTTGCATAGACTGGTTTAGGACCCCATGGAAGTCACTGCACTAGCAGTCTTGAGGCTAATCTCTCACATGTTGTCCCATCTAATTTTGCCTGTAATTGGCAAATGATATTGATTATATTAAAAATATAGTGAGGTGGCCCTTTGCACATAAAATTTTCATTTGTTCTCAACTTCCAAATATCCCTTTAACTGGGGGGCTCTTTCCCTCCAAGTCCTCATAGGAGAGCTTAATAGCTGCTCCCCTCTCACACTATCTCTTACTTGTTTGCCTACCCATTACACCTCTTCTTTATTTTTTCTTTCCTCCTATTGCCCTAGACCTTCCCCTTGGGATCACTCTATCACCTTCCTTAAGGAACATAACTTTCTCATTATTCTGTTGCATCCCCCTTGTCATTCCACAAAAATAAAGGAGCCACCTTGGAAATTTTGAAATAATCAAAGCATAATTTGGAAAGTTAATCTTCTAGGCAGATGTCCCAAGCAGTTTTTTTCCTTTTTTGGTATTAATTTTTATTTTTTTATTTTTTAATTAAATAAAAATAGTTGTATAGTTGTTCTATTACAGTTGTCCCAATTTTTCCCCCTTTGCTCTCCTCCATCCAGCCCATCCCCCATTCTCACAATATTCCACCCTGTTGTCCATGTCTGTGGGCTATTCATACATGTTCCTTGGCTAGTCCCTTCCCCTACTTTGTATCCTGACCCCCCATCCCCCTCCACTTTTGTCATTGTCAGTCTGTTCTGTGTTTCCATGCCTCTGGTTCTATTTTGCTCATTTGTCTGTTTATTCATTAGGTTCCTTTTTTGAGGTGAGATCACATGGTATTTGTCTTTCACCATCTGGCTTATTTCATTTAGTGTAATACTCTCCAGTTCTATCCATGCTGTTGGGAAGGGTAGGAGTTCCTTCTTTCTTTCTGCTGTGTACTATTCCATTGCGTAAATGTACCACAATTTTTTGATCCACTCATTTACTGATGGGCGCTTTGGCTGTTTCCAGAACTTGGCTATTGTAAATAACACTGCTATGAACATAGAGGTACATAGCTTCTTTTAAATT